TGTTAAATCCAAAAAGATGGGATAATCTATCTCCGGGACGGCAATAGCTCGTGAAAACTGTAAACGGACACAGGGGTATTCAACGTACACTTAATTCTATGGTATTTTGCAGTTGTTAACCAAAAGTGTTACCATTCTTGACACGATGATATCGATACCTCACCTCATCCAAGCCAAAAACATCACCACTGGACCTTGGAAGATTTACGATCTGTCAGTTGTCCAAATTAGTAATTTTTCCAGTTTATTCTCTCAGTATGATGATGTGCAAACTAATAGTGGCTTTGTAATAGTAGGGCTACGTTTTGTTGGCGTCCGCAAAGATTACTAATGAATCGGAAATCTGTCTTAACAAGTGTGGTATACGTAGATTTTATTGCAGTCTATTTTCAACTATTTTTGCTCACACGTTTCCTGGTAATAATGAATTCTGCCAACAAGATAACGCATCATACCCCAGTTGTGCGCAGGTAACACCAAACTCACTCCAGGAATTCTCGTATGACTCCCAGTTAATCCATTGGATCTCATGTTCTCACAGAATTAACCCCGTTTAGCATATATGAGATACCCTGCAGATCTTAAAAAATTCTCTGCAGCCATACTCAACAAGCATAATTCACCTACAGAGAGCCCTTGAACATATTTGGATTTATATGCCTTGCAACGATTTCAGCGCATTGGAGATTTCATAGCATTATTTCCCGCTATTATTCAGAATAAATGAATTACTCGTTATTAGGTAATTGTTTATTTTTTTTTTGTATACATGAATATGTAATATATATGAGAGAGAGTGCAAAATTTTTATCATCATTGGGGAAACATTATTATATGAATTAATATTATTCTGATTCCTTATAAAGTATTTGTGTATTTCCCGCTTTTCATTAAATTGTGTATGCTGTCAAAAAAGAAATAAATTACCTTTCATCAGATGAATTCTCCGAAGATTTTCTTGCTGTCTTGAAATGTCAAAACCATTACAAGACACAAAACAAGTGATTGTCTAAAAGTGACAGGTATGGAGAATAGGTCGCATGCAGAAGAACTTCCCATCCCATCTTTCATGATCATTTGTTTTTATCACATTTGCAGCACGGAAGTCAGTGCTGTCATAAAAAAATATTGACCAGTTGACTCTCTTGCCCAGAAAGATATATTTATATGCCAATGCGTCATTCAAATATCCTGTTTTTTTTTTATTATTTGTTGCTGCTTTTAAACTACAATTTTCCATGGTTCGATTCCTGCCGGAGGACGCATATTTTCTATGAAGATTTCTCGGCCGGTAAATGTTGTTAATACTGTTTATTATGAACAGAGCATTTACTTAAATGTTTGTGTCTATAGAAATAACGTATAACAATAAAATATATTAAAATAATTCTCGGACTTTATTTATTTCGTAGTCTGTGACGCCATATATATATATATATATATATATATATATATATATATATATATATATATATATATAAAGGAAAATAGAATAGTGCAGTTCAGCAACATCGCAAGATGCAACAAAACCAAAAGAATTGATCATAGAACTTGAGTTATGTACTTAAAGAGTCCCGTCAGATCGAGATAGATGTCATGCATGTCGTCCAACTCGTTCTAATATATCTAAATAGTCGACTGTATACTATAGCCTTCTGAGATCAATGCTTAAAAATGGTTTCGAGCGTATGTAGCCTGTGATCTTAGGGAAAATTGTCCTTCTTTGAGCTTCATGGACTGACGCTACAGAATCTCAAAGAACTGTACCAAATTACAGAAATTACGCCACTTGATGGATTTCAACAGCAGCAAGAACTAAAATGGATAGCACGTGCAAATCAAAGAGAAAATAATAACATAAACAAAATATTTACACTATTTACATTGTTCGGATTGTTTTCCTCATCCTTATTGTCATATTCACGACGTTTCGTCCGTTGTACACTACGGCCTTCTTCAGATGATATACGTTGGAATTTCGAACAGATCCCTTTATTTCGTCCACAGGGATAGATTGTTCTAGATGAACGTCGCATGCCTTTTCTGGATATCTCAGTTCCTGTTATTTCTCTTTAGTTATTCAACTCTCCAAGTTTTGTTCACCTCTGCTGTTACCGGGTATTGAACTCACAACTCTTTGCGTCATGTCACTGGATTACTTCAACCAACGCTTTTATGCACTGGGCCGTGTGAACTGAAACTGAGATATCCAAAAAAGGGCATGATACGTAGAACTCGAACAATTTATCCCAGTAGACGAAATAAATGGTTCGGTTCGAAATTCCAAAGTATATCACTTGAAGAATGTCAGATCGTACAACGGCTGAAACGGCGCGAATAATGCCAAAAAAGATGAGGACAACAATCCGAATAATACATTAAGAAGTGGAAATTCGACCTTGCCAACCGAACGATCCTTTGTGGCCGAGCGGTTAGGCACGTTAGGATAAATGACGGATCCGTATAGGATGCAGGTTCGAATCCTGTCAAACGATGAATATTTTCTATGTTATTTAATACTGTTTATTATAAACAGAGCATTTATTAAAATACTTTTATCTATAAAAAGAATGTTAAGCATAAAAATGTCTTTTATAATCCGAATAATGTAAATAGTTACAATACCTCGTTTCAGAAATAGAGACAGATATAATCAAGATGTTTATGTTCTACACCAATTCTGATAAAGTTTAAAAAGAAAGCACCCCACCC